GAACTGAGAGACAGAATGTCAATCAACCAACAAGCATTTATTTAGCACCCACTATGTGCCAGGTACTGTCCTGAACTAGTGATGACTGCACAGTTGTTATCCACCCTGGTTAGACTATAACTGGAGTATTTGATTCAATCTGGACACCACATCTTAGAAATGGCACTCATAATAATAATGCCTAGCATGTATACAAGACTTTAAGGTTTGCAAGGCATTCTGCATATGTTAATTCATTTGATCCTCACAATAACACTGTGAGAAAAGCACTACCTTCTATACTGTGCAGTTGGTTTGAAAAAAAAATCTATGTGTATTGATTACATTTTATTCTGTTGCATATTATTCATCCATTTGTTTCCTGGCAGGAGTGGATCTAAATTAGTCTTAACAACTTAATAATAGCTAGCATTTATATACGAATTTTAGGTTTGCAATTTTTTTGTTGTTGTTTAGTCATTTCAGTTGCGTCCAACTCTCTGTGACCCCATTTTTTGGGAGGGGTGTTGGCAGAGATACTGGAATGGTTCCCCATTTCCTTCTCTAGTTCACTTTACAGGTGAGGAAACTGAGGCAAACAGGGTTAAGCCTTGCCCCGGGTCACATAACTAGTAGGTATCTGAGGCCGTATTTGAACTCATGAAGATGAATGTTGCTGATTCCAAGTCCAGTGCTCTATCCATTATGCCACCTAGCTGCCTCTAGGCTTATAATGCACTTTACAAATATTATGTCATTTGATCCCTATAAGCACCCTGTGAAATCGGTGCTATTATCATCCCCATTTTACAGATGAGGAAACTGAGGCAGACAGAGGTCAAGTGATTTGTCCAGGGTCTAACACAGCTAGTAAGTGTCTGATGCTGGATTTGAACTCATGTCTTTCTGACTCTAAGTTCTGAGCTTTATCCATGGTTCCACCTAGCTTCCTCTTACTAGAGGCATGAGCCAATGCAGTGAGGATGATGATCATGTTAAGTGAGGAGTAATTGAAGAAACTTGACAGGAGGTTTAGCTTGGAGAAAAGAAGACTAGGTGGCAGGGGGAGAAGTAATAGAAAGATAGCTGTCCTCAGTTATAGCTAGTAGCATTTAGATAGCACTTTAAGACTTGCAAAGTGCTACACATATTACCTTGTCTGATAATTTTAAATAATTTAAATGTCATTTATGAGAAATATTAGCCTCATTATGCTTGGTCCCAGAAGACAGAATGAAGAATGATGGGTCAAAGATAAGATTTCCAAAAGTGGAATGGGCTACTTTGGAAGGTAGTGGGATCTGTGTCACTATCAGTCTTCAACTGAAGACTGGATGCTCACTTGTCAGGCATGTTGTATAAGAAACTGTTGTTCACATACAGGTCTTGTGAAATGACCCATGAGGTCTCTTCCATCTCTACGATTCTAGGAATGGTATGTTCATACATAATGGTTAGCTATGAATTCTAGGAACCCAAGAAAAGAAAACCACAGAGTGGCTCCTTTTTATAAGGCTGCTTCTCTCCACCATTCCACTGTCTCTTAAGAAATGCCATGCTAGGGGCAGCTAGGTGGTGGAGTGGATAGAGCACCAGCCCTGAAGTCAGGAGGACCTGAGTTCAAATCTGGCCTCAGACTAAATACTTGACACTTACTAGCTGTGTTACCCTGGGCAAGTCACTTAACCCCAACTGACTAAAAAAAAAAACAAAAGGAAGAAAGAAAGAAAAGAAATGCCATGCTGGCTGGGTAGAGTGGTACATACCTGAAATCTCTGCTATGAGGCTGAGGCAGGTAGATCTCTTGAGTTTGGGAGTTTTGAGCTGCAGTGGACTAAGTTGATCAGATGTCCACACTAAGGTTGGTATTAATATAGTGAGCCCCCAGAAGTGGGCAGCCAGCCAACTGACTAAAGAAGGATGAACCAGCCCAAGGTGGAAAAGGAGCAAGTCAAAGCTCCTATACCAGTCAAGGTGGGACCAACCATGAACCTAAGAGAAATTAGGAGACTCAGTCTTTTTTTTTTTTTTAAGGAGCTAGTCTCCTACATTAATAGTCAGTTTAGTTGTGTTCTATTTCTGCTAGAGGTACAAAGTGACATTATTAGATAGGGCATGGATTTTGTGTGTGTGTGTGTGTGTGTGTGTGTATGTGTGTGTGTATGATATCAAACACAAAATGTTAAGACCACACAAAAATTCCTTAATAACCTGAATCTATAATCCTATGACTTACTGAAACCCTTCTTAAAGAGGCAGGGTAGTATAGTGGTTAGAGAGTTGGCCTCAGAGCCACAAGGACCTGCATTCAAGTCTCATCTTTGACATATACTCACTGTGTGACCCTGGGCAAATCACTTAACCTCTCAGTGCTCTAGGCAACTCTCTGAGACTATAAACTACAGGAAGGTGCCACTTTGTATTGGTAGAGAGAGTTCTCTGGTCAATGAGTTCCCTAAACTAACGAAATCACAGGTCCAGTCCCTATTTTAAAACTATTCAAATTTTGTTGTTGTTCAATTGTTTCAGTTGTGTCCAGTTCTCCATGATCCCCTTTGAGGTTTTCTTGGCAAAGATACTGGAGTGGTTTGCTATTTCCTTCTCCAGCTAATTTTTTTTTAAACAAATGACAAACACAGCTAGTAAGCGTCTGAGGCCAGATTTGAACTCAGGAAGAGGGGTCTTCCTGACTTCAGGCCTAGCACTCTATCCACTTCTCCACCTAATTGTGCTATTCATATTTTTAGTTCATACCAACTCAGAGCCCAGCCCTACTCCCTGTGTAAATCAATACTTCCCCCTTTTGTCCTAAATCTGCTTATTTCAAGTTTCAAGGGGCTGGCCCCCTATTGAGTATCCCAGGATCTAGTGAACAAATCTGTGCTTCGTGAATTTATAAAATGTGATAATATCTCTCCTCATACTTGATCTTTCTAGCCTATAGGATCCTATTTTTAAGTCTATCCTCAAATGAAAGTGCCTTTAATCAGCTTAGTTGCCCTTCTGTAATATGTCTTTCTTGGGTCTAGAACTAGAAATACATGTAATATTTTAATAATGCTAACAAAGAATTTTTCCAAACTTCTCTAACTCCAGTTGTTCTAGAACAAAGTCCAGGCAGGGGATGAGAAAGGGTAGAATAGTCATGAAGCCCAGCTCTACAGAAAGAATGACCAAAGGATTATAGATCTGGAGCTGGAATGGTACCAATGAGGAAACTGGTGGTGTCAGAGGTGGGATTTGAATTCAAGCTCTCTAATTCCAGGGATGAGAAATAATGGTCAAACTGAGACTGGAGAGATCAGTAACACAGAGTATCACCAGTTACTCCTAAAGGTTAAGCCTTCGTCTTTGGATGAAAATGATTAGGGGACATGGGAGTGCCCAGTTTAGCATTAGACATTGTATAAAGCAGAGAGAGTCCTGGCAGGAGCTTTAAGAAATCAGTTTACCTGACAAACAGCTCTGAGATGCAGGACATACCTTAAGTACAAGAAAGTACTTTCCTGGTACCCCTCCCCCACCTTCCCTTTGCCTATCCTATTTCTTTACCACATTCCTTTCCTTCTTGAGGGTCAAGGCTTCTGGTCAAGATCCAGAGAGAAGAGGGAATTATAGGTTGGAAACAAATCAGGAACTTTTTATTCTTCCAAGGCATTATCGGGTGCATTTTGGTATTCCTAAAAATTCAGAAATGAACTTTGCCCCCAGAAGCATCAAAACTGGACTGGCTTTCCAGCAATACTTGGTCTTTTAGGACACCTTTATCTGGCACCCCATTTTTTTCTTGTGTTATTTACAATTAGAGAGTCAGTGTGGCGTGATGAATAGAAAACCAGACTCAAAACCAAGAAGACCTGGTTTCATGTCCTGCCTCAGATAGCACTTACAGTGTGATCCTGGGCAAGTCCCTTAACTTTTACATGCCCTAGGCAACTCTTTAAGACTATAAATTGTAATGAAATTGCCAAGTGATTCCCCATGGGTAGAGGGAAATCAGGGGTCCAGTCCCTATCCCTCTTTACAATTCATTTTTCGTGTGAATAAAGTAACTATAGTAGTTTTACATAACTTGGGGCTAATAAAAGTTTGTTCTCATAAGCAGGTTAACCATTCTTCCCCACAGTCTTATTTATGCTGCTAATTTGTCAAATCCCTTTCTATTTTACACAGCAAAGGTATAACTGAGCCTAGGCAATCTCAGAACAGCAAATTCTAAAATACTTGAGATCTTCTATTAGTGAGATTTTTGCTGTAAAGCAGGGTTAGGCCTGCTAACCTGAAAATACCAAGTTTTCAAAGAAAAAAAAAGGCTGGCTTTAAAAGAAAACTACCTCCAGAAGTCTTATCTTTTGTATTCCAAACTAGGGGAGAAATGATATAAGCCAGTAAGGTTGGGGGGGGGGGGGTCGAGGGAGGATGATCTAGGGGGAGAAGCGAGCGGACTGGGAAGCCTGCAGTGCCCCCATACATAGTTTGGTTTCTTCATGAGCCGCCCAAGACTCATCCCTGTGTACAATCTTTCTTATGAACCCAAGGAAACGACAAAAGGCATTTTACAAATGCACACTGAACACCACAGTGACTGTGCTCTCATCATTTCTCTAAAGGCAAGCTAGAAGCTTACGATCAAGTTTCACCGTACATAAGCTATATTTGTCTTAGATTTCGTATTTGGAGGATCTCTGTGCGTACCTACGCGCACGGGTCGGGGTCTCGCCTTCTTGTGGCTATACAGAAGATGGTTCGATGTATTTACCAGCATCTTTGCTGATAAAGAAATGGAGACTATGTGCCTCTGTGTAGCCCCAGACCTACATGGCAGCTCGGGTTTCCGCTTCTGCCCCGTCCCATTTTCTTTCTTTCTTTCTTTCTTTTTTTTTTTTAGCGGAATCGCACAGAAAGACTCCAGTATTCGAGCGAGCGCACAATAGGAAACTTAGACTCCTGCCCGGCCCCCCAGCTCCTGTCCGCTCCCCCGCCATCCACAGCCCTCCAATGCAACCCATACGATGACTTACTTTTCACTGCTGTGTTCCTGGCAGCTCAGTCATTCTGGACACTGGGAATCCGCCCTTTAAAGGAGGCAAAGGTTGCGCCCCGGCGCAGCGCCCGAGTCCCCACTGTTTTTGCTGCAGTGGCCACACTCCCCGCCCCTAGCTTAAAGCCAGACAGGCTGAGTCACATACATGTGTCAAATTAAAAGTCCTCACAAGCTAAGAATGCTGGGAAGGACTTTTGTTTACAACTTGAAATCTCCCAGAGGGAAGATATACACAGCTCTATGGTCTATCCCTCCCTCATGGGTCAACTAATTCCTAGAGCTCTGAAACCGACACTTTTCAAGCCGTTGTTTGATGAGAAATCCTTGCCTTCTCCACTGCCCTCTACTTCCCTCCACATACTACACTGGTGTATTGGCTGCGCCTCTACAGAGCACTCCCATCTTCCGTCTTCCTGCCTTTGCACCCGGCTGACCCCATGTCTGGAATGCTCTCCTTCCTACCCTCTACCTCTTGGTTTCTCTGGCTTCCTTCAAAACGCAGCTCAATTCTCATCTTTTGTAGGCCTTTCTCTCTCCCCCAGCTGCTAGTGACTTCCCTTTCAGATAACCTCCAGTCTACTGTGCATATACCTTGTATGTACTAGTTATTTATCTCGTCTATTAGAATGTGAGCCTTCTGAGGAGTGGAACTGTTTTTACCCTTTTTTGGCTAAGTTCCTGGCACTTAGTAATCGATTAATAAATGTCTTTTTTAAATTGAATTTTATTTTTCAATTAATAGAAATCTTAAATTAAATTTAAATCTAAATGCTTTTAGATAGATGAATAAGTTGATGGATTGATTTTCCATTAATTGCATAATAATGTTCAATTTAACTTTCTCCTGATCTCATAAATGTAAGTAAAATTTGAAAGTTGAGTCATATTGCTGTTGTAGAATGTCATTCATTTTCAAGCTATATCCTTTAAGTGAAAAAAATTAAAATGTTTTAAACTACAAACAAGTGTATAAATTAAAATCCCAACAGCTCTATCATCAATAGAGATCATGCAAAAGAAAGGAGCCCTTCTATTCCATTCAAAACTTAATGTCATACAAAATGTAAGATCATACAACAGTAGAACTGGAGTTTTCAGCTTTTTCACTGAGTCAATTCAAAATGCAATGCAATTAATCTGACCAATTTTTAAAATCACCTATTTAAAAATCACCTAAAACCCAAGTCAAAGGCTTTCAGATCAATTTAATAGCCAATATGGACACTATCTACATTTCTTCCAGTAACAGTGGAATAATCATTTAAGGTTGAATATATCTTTCAGCATAAAGATTTACAAAAATAATAATTATTATAAGTCATAATGAATAATAATAATGATGATAGCTAGTATTTGTACACCTCTATAGGACTTGCAAAATGCTTTACGAGTATTTTCTCATTTGACCCTCTAATTAACCCTGGGAGGTAGATGTTATTGTATTTCCATTTTACAGATGAGGAAATTGAGGCTGAGAAAGTCTAAGTGACTTGCCTCAGGTCACAGAGCTAATAAGCATCTGAGGCTGACTTTAAACTTAGGACTTCTTGACTCAAGGTCTAGCTCTATCCACTGTGGTCGCTAAGCTGCTTCTGTAGTCAGAGGGTGGGTTGTGGTTTCATATCCCACCTCTGATGCATACTGACTATGGGACCTTGGGAAAGTCAATTTGCCTTCATAGAGCTCTAGGTCACTCTATTCACCTCAAGACAGAAACCCCCCCAAAATTAAAAAAAAAAATTTAATTTGTATGAATTAAAGAAAAATCATAGTGTTCTTAGTATCAAATTTAAAAATAAAACACACTTCTCTCTCTCTCTAAATATGTGTGTGTGTGTGCGTGTGTGTGCGTGCGCGCACTTGTAGCAGGAGTGTGAACTCTTTTGACAGTGGAAAGTTTGCAAAGATAAAGCTTGTCAAGGTGGATTCTATCCAATTGAGAGTTCCTGTGTAAATTGATAACACGTTTATCTCTCACTGCTTACATTATCAATCTACAAACTGCCTTTTCTTATCCCTCATTCAGTATGCATAGGTCAAAATAGCTCACATCCCTACAACCACAGAGTTCTAACCTTTTAATTTGTTTAATTCTTAGATATGATAATGAGAAGAGAGCCCGCCGTAAATAGAGAGTAAGTAATGGAGTCTGGAAGACCCAAGTTCAAGTTCTATTTCTAAAGCATACTGGCTTTGTGTCCCTTGGAAAGTCACCTAACCTATCAGTGCCCCAGGCAATGTTTGAAGACTAAGTTTTAAAAAAGGTTCCAGTCTGTACTTATAGAGGATACATTTTCTTATCCAGCAGTTCACTGAACCAGATTCCATTCTAATGAAAATAATGATAACTTTTAAAAATTGAAACAATTGAAATTCTTATCCAAAACATGTAATTGGACAAAATAGTTTCTGATAATTTCTTTTATTTCTTCTTCAATTTTTAGTTCTCCTTTTTCATTTTTATACAATTTGTATTTTAAAAATCATATTAGCTGTTTATATTAGGTGTATTTGGTTTTTTTAAAAGCTCAGTTTCAATGATTAATTCATTAGTCTTTTTGCTTTTAGTTTTGTTCATCTCTTCATTAATTTTCCAAATGCCTACCTTGTTACATAGTTGCAGATTTTAGATTTATTGTTGTTCAAGTTTTTGAAATTTCATGCCCAATTCATTGATTTGTTTTTTCTCTTTTGTAGATGAAATCATTTAGAAATATAAAATTTCCCCTCAGAACTGCTTTAGCTATGTCTCACAAGTATGGGTATGTTGTCTCATTATTGTTATTTCTTAATAAAATTTTCTATTGTTTCCATGATTTGTTCTTTGACCCACCAGTTCTTTAGAATTATGTTATTTAGTCTTGAATCATTTTAATTCTCTCTTCAAGGGTCCTTTATTCAGTATAATTTTTATTGCATTGTGATCAGTAAATGATGTGCTTAATGTTTCTGCTTTTCTACATTTTTGGTGAGATTTTTATACCTTAGTACAAGGTCAATGTCAGGAAAGATACCACATGCAGTATGTAAATACCTTTCTATTCCCATTCAATAATTGTTAGATTTTTATCATCTCTATTTTTTAAAGTTCTATTCAGGTCCTTAACATACTTCTTGTTTATTTTTTGTTTGAATTTCTCTAGGTCTAAAAAGGAAATGTTAAATTTCTCCACTAGTGCACACTAGTTTTAGTGTGCTCTCTCTCTCTCTTCATTATCCTATATGTATTTATCTATTTGCATGTTGTATCCCCAGAATAGAATCTATGCTTCTTAACAGTAGGGACTTTTTTTGGTTTGTCTTGGTAGTCTCAGAATCTAGTACAATGCTTTTCACACAGCAAGCACTTAATAAATACTTGCTGATCAGATTGATTTGGATTAGAAGCTACCAGATGGCCTGCATCTTGTCCTAGGGACAAAAATCCCCAGCTCTGATACACCTCCCTTTTGTTATCAAAGTTAGTTATTTCTGTTGTTTTATGTTTCAAGAAATCTTTGTGATCATTACATATGTATGAAACACGTTACTGAAAGAGAATCTTTAATCAATGTTTTTTTAATATGGTTAACAAACAATAAAAATGGTAGGATCTTATATTCTCTATGCCTTTCAATTATGTAATTGTAAAGATATGATCTGCATTAGAATATCCTTTTCAATAGCCTATTACCTTCTTACATTTTAATTGAAAATGTCATATATACATATGCTTACATATACATATGTTTGTATAATTTTGAAAAAAGAGTTTATAAAGATGAGAAATTAGACACATGGGCTAGCAGTTTTTGATCTCGCAATCACCTGTTCTTGATGTTAGAATCCAAGTATGGTGGCTCTACTTTCACCGATAGAGAAAACAATTGTTAATATAAATATTCACAGATCTTTTCCATTTTTCATTTCTTTGCTGTCCTCCTTCCAGTTTCATACTGTTGGAATGACCTAACTCAATTCAATCTTATATTAAGCTTTTGGTAACATTTTTTATCCTCCATATTTTGCTGTCCTCCTATATGCCCACCTTTGCATTGAAGTCACTACTATTAAAATATATGTTGATTTGGTTCTAGAGATCTTATTAAGTACTTTAAGAACTTCTTTGTTTTCTGATCCTCTGTGACAGATGTTGGTAAGTAAGCTATAATTGTCTTCATAGTGATCTTTTTGCTACAATGTAAAAAATACAAGTAACCCATGAAATGATGTTTCCAGTTGCTTTGGGACAGACAGTAACAGCAACAAGGACAACAACAACAAGCTTCTTTGTCTCTCCAAGAAGAATCTATAAGTCATTTTTTCACTTAACTACAATTTGTTTATATCTTCCAGGTTAATTTAGGGCAAGAATGTCAATATTGATATGTTTGAATCCCTCAGGTTCTACAACCCTTCTGCTGGAGGCTGAAACCTAAACACCCCACTTCCCTAATCCTCTGCTCCAAAAAAGAGTCCGTCTCCCCACCCCTTCTCTTAATTCCTCCTGACACCCTTATCTCTCTCAGTAGCAGACCTGTCTTCTCTCTCATACTGCCCGTACATAAAGGTGCTTAAAATTTTCTAAAGGCACAGCATGCTATGAGGTGAAGCTTCTTATCATGGAGAAATAAATCCCCTATAAGTGCCACTTTTAATAAACTGGGATAGGTTTCACCTGGGCTTTCTCTAGCTAACCCCACAGGAGGGTTTGCCAAGACTCTTAGAAATTATGTACTTAAGCAACAAAATTATCCTCCAAGTGTTACATTGAATATGTTCATTAAATACAAAAGTTGATTGACTCTTTTTCTATCTTTTCTGCTTTGTTTCTTTTTGTTTGTTTTTGTTTTTTCAGACTCAGTCAGCTCACTGATTATTAGACAAGGGTCTTAATTTAGGGTACCAACAGTAAATGTTTATAAATCCTCTACAAATGGAGTGATTCATAGCATCCTCTACTTCCTTTTCTACCACTCCGTCACCAGCAGATGGAGGCTACAAAGAACTGAAGGTCATCTTTAACTTTTCTTTGCTTCATGGATTTGCCTTTGCCAAAGAATTAATCACCAAGAGGCCAATCTATTGGTAGCAAGCTTCTCTACATTTTTGCTAGTT